AGTAAGAATTCAACTGCTGGTTTGCAGTAGGAGTATACATTCTCCAGGTTGCACGACGTGGAGGTAAGTCTATCCCACACCCCATTCTCATTTTACAATAAGTGTTATTAGGGATGGATAATGCCTTTGTTTTTATTCCAATAATCTCCAGCTTTAAGAAATCATTCAATTTCATTTGTGAGTAAAATAAATTTGATGTCCACATTTGGCAGTTACAACAGTTACAGGGTTGTTATTCTCTCATTTTTCTTACAATTTTGCTCGGTAAATGGACTTTTTCAACAAAAAATACCTTTGCAATAAAGGTACCATTCTCTCCTATTAAGTGCAAACAGAAAGCAATGTAAATTCTGAAAACAAATTAATAATGCAACATAGTCGGGGTGGGGTGTGGGGGGTGGTGAGTGGAGGGGGAATTCGGACGTAGTTATCTCCTACCTTGACCAAGAACTTGCAGGTTTATGACCTCAAATAAAATCATGTGGATGACCTGAGAGCTCGCTTTGTTCATTAGGGGCCTAGTCTAAAAATTAATTTGGGGAAAGATATTATCTCAACCGTTTCTAGGTTGCTGCACCTGCAGATGATTCACATGTCATATCACTTATCTCTTGCCTTCTATTAATGAATTTTTGGATCTTTTCGTTCAACTTTTCTTGTCATACGTTGACAAAGAGAAGTTTTTTGTCATTGTTTCTAGGCCAATGACAAACTCTAATAGGCACACAATTACTGTTTCTGATTATATCAATCAGTAACGGCTGAATCATTCAATTATAGTGCGTGAAGTAAAATAGAGCACGCACAATTTCTGTTTTTCTTAATGTCGTCATTATTAAGGACCAGATTCTTCGGCTTCCACGCATATTTCTCCCAATCGAAGTATGTTCTTTCGTCCGTTCTATCGCAAAATTCTGAACAAATATTTATTTTCATTAAATGGCAGGCCGTACGTTATTTATCATTTGCCCATTAGGTGACTTCTGGCTTCACAGAGGGGAGGAACATCAAAGTCACAAAAAGTCGAGATGGTGGGGAGGGGGGAACAGAAGAGTGTTTCAAAGATGTAAAAAAGACAGACAGACGCAAGGGCAGAGAAAAGGTAAGATGAGTACTGTGAAAGTGGTCGAATATGCCATACAGTTTAGCCATGGTAGTTTGAAGTCAACTTCCGATTTATAGACTTGTTTGTGCCCAGAGTGGACTTCGTGGAGGTAAGTCTATCACGCTCCTAAAATAATATGAATTAGAGGCAATATGTTGCCCAGACTTAACAAAATACCTAATAGCAATACTTAGC